AGAGATGAAGTGAAGGGGAAGGACAGGAGAGGAGAGGAGCCGAGCCTCCTCTGGCGGAGCAAGGCAACCCACTGCCCTGCACACAAGCGCAAGTGCGAGAGGTCACAGGAACACAGTTTCACTTCCCAAACTGTAAGACTATTTTTGGTTCAGATGATTTCCCTTCTTGTCCTCTGCCACACAGACAATGAGAACTCCAGCTTGCAGAGGGCATCCCGGCTCCTCCAGGCTCGCCTGGCGACAGCTTGTACCGCGGTAGCACAGCCTATGCTGGAAATCTGTGGTCTCCCGGGTGGGTTTTTTCTTCTTTCTCCTGAAGGAAAAAAAACAGAGAAGGGTAAATCTGCTGATCTTGAAACTGAGGGAGACGTGGCATCATGTGCAGTCGCAGAGGATGTGGGCAGGTGCCATCAGACTTCCCCACGCAGCGCTGGAAATGTGGCTCAGTCCTGATCTGCAGCTCCTGCTGTTCCCGTCCCGGGCTCCCACACAGCCCTGGCAGCTGGGCGGTATTTCGGTCCTCACCGCAGCGCTCGGGCTACTGCGCTCCCTCCGTGCTTCTTCCCCCAAGCACATCAACTGAGCGTCCACGTGGTTTGATTCCCAGCCCTTTGAAGCCACGCTGGAGACAGAATAAGAAGGTGGGAAAAATTATTTCCATAAATCCCCATTCAATTTGTAACTCCAGCTCCTCCACTTATGTCAGTCCCAGGCCTCTCCAGAGCGAAAGCCACACCAAAGACTGTTTTGGTGCTGTGACATGGACAGAAACCCAACGGGCTCCGGAAGGAATTCACGCTCTTTGCTGACCGCCCTTAGCTGCTTTGACTTATTATCTGACCTGGATCTAAATTAGGTTTTGATTAAAGTCAAGAATAATTCTACTTGGAAAAATTTCATTGTTTAGGTTCAGAGTTAACAAAAACTACAGGAGAATTAAAACTGCTTTCTCACTTTGGGGACAGAGACCCCGAAGGGACCTTAGATGGCGCCCGGGCCCCCGCTGCGAGCGGCAGCCACGCCGTGCCATGTCATTCATAACCTGACCAAGCTCCGTCTGCGCAGCGGCCGGGTTCCCTCCCCAGTTCTCCTCTGACGTTGCTCCTGGAGAGACTGATGGCTCCGGTGCTTGGTCAGCATCTCCTCGTTTCACGGGGGGGTTTATACACAGTCCGTTTGTTCCTACTCGCTCTTGTGCCGAGGCGGTGCCGTGGCTTAGTCCGTGTCCCTCCCTGGGGTCTCTCTCTTGGTTGTCCACAAACGCGTCTTCTCTCAGCAGTCGTTTTGCTGAGATCGGTGAGCCGAGTCACCTCTGTAAGACGCTCTCCTTTCTCCTGAACAATCCGGCAAACCCTCTCTGCACTGCTTTCAGGCTAAATTCTCTCAATACGGCTAACCAGCACCGGCCGGCGGTCCGGAGCTCCACCAGAGCCTTTATCTTCTCTGTACCTCTCTCGAAATGACTCTCCCAAGACAACCTGGGATCATTCCCCTTTTTCTTGACTGCATCCCGTTGGTGGACCACAGCTGTCCTGTTGGTGGACCACAGCTGTCCTGTTGGTGGACCACAGCTGTCCTGTTGGTGGACCGCAGCTGTCCTGCTGGGGGATCACAGCTCTCCCCTTGGTGGGTCACAGCTCTCCCATCCAGCCTCGGGCAGGTGAGCGTCTCAGATGCAGGCTGTGTGACACACGCAGACTGTGTTTGGTAGGAAGAATAAGGCAGCTCCCGCGAGCGATTCATCTCGCTCCACGACAAGCGTTTAAAGCACCGGGTGAATGGGTTCTGAGGATTCTCCTCGCTGCGCGTTGACTGTAGAGGCAGTTGAGACGCCCAGGTATCGCTGCCTGTCCGGCTTTGAATGCCTGAAGTTACGAGAGCCGAACACTCCTCCGCAGTGACCCCTCAACATTTCTCTATCGTTCCCCAATGCGGCGCTGCCAGCTGCCAGCAGAAGTGGTGGTTAGTAACTCCTGAGCTCACTTTGCGCTGCTCGGTACAAGGCTACGTCCACCCATGGGCTCGGATCCCCCCGCACCCACCCCTCTGCCCACCTCTCTTATCCCACCCAGCAGCACTCAGGGGCATTTGGTAAATGGTTCCAGTTTGGGTCCTCTTCGAGTGCGAATCCAGATGTTGACCAACAAAACCAGCGTAGCTGGGGACGCTGCAGGGCGCCCGCTGGCACGGCGCCTTCTCCGGCTGGGATCTGCGGGGCGCTTGCTGCCGGCCTGCCCTACATGGCTTTTTACACCATATTTGGCCGCCCTCGTTTCCAGCTGATAAACTGCACTGGAAACAGCTTCGAGGAGAAGGGTACTTTCCAGTTATCACTTTCCCATGTAAGCTGTAAACACAGCTGGGGGGTGCCCTGGGTGACGGCTGGGGGGGATCCACCACTGCCACCCCCCATCAGCAGGCAGCCGCCGCCGGGCTAGATGGGAGAGTCCCTGGCACGGTCCCGCCGGGCTGGCGGGGGTCACCGCTCCGCTCGGCCTGCTGGGGGTGCTGGGCGCACGGCGGGGACTGACCGCTGCTGCTGCTGAACGGGACGGCTGTGGGAAACACAGGGAACGCGGGAATACGGCCGAGCTGAATCAGGCCCTCCAGACTGCGGTGCTGCCCCTGCCCTGATAAGCATCGGACACTTCAAAGGAAGGCCCGGGTGCTACGGCGAAAAACTGGGGAAGGAAATATCCTCAAAGGAAGCCTCTTTCTCGCTCCTGACCATCAGTTTTAGGCTTATCCTCTAAAGCATGAGCACTTATCTCTCCCTTCTTTCTTAAATCTGTACCTTCCCAGGTGTTTCTCCTCCAAAGAGGCACCAGGTCCTTTTGCATACACAAACACTCTCTGTGGCGATAAATTCCACTGGTTAGCTGTAAGATGGGTAAAGTTATCGGGTTTTATCAGTCTGGAGGACTCATACTTCTGTTGATCATCCCTTTCTCTTGTACCTTGAGAAGGGACCCATAAGCACGCGCCACGCACCTCCTCCGGACACGCACCGCAGCCTCCCCTCCTCAGCTCCCCTCTCAGCTCGGCTGCCCTGCTATTTCCAATTGAGCATTTTCTAGGTATTACGACCGCTAATTCCTGATTTCCTTGGCTTTATGTATGTGAAAGAATAATCACAAGCCAATACAACAGTCCAGGGTCTGGGGTACCCCTACCTGAAAAAATGTTACAAAGAGAACTAACGTCTAGTTTATATTTGTTGGAAGTTACTAAGAACAACTTTGATTTATATAACATAAACAGCAATGGACCTGGAGTTATCAGGCGTTGGTCTATAGCAAAGCCTGCAGCAGATGCCCTGTGCTGTACGCCACCAGTACCTGTCATCCAGAACCATCAGTTTCAGGTCCAGTGCCACCGAACACGGCCACTTTTTTTTTTTCCTGTCTTTAAGGACAAAATGCATTATAATCTGGCATATTACGAGGTTGCTCATGCAGTGCAAGTTAAACCCTTGTTGAATCCCTGCTGGATTGGGACCCAAAATATTGGCCTGAACACTCAGCCCCTGTGTGAGCGGTCTCCCTGAAATCCTCATTGGGAAGGTAACAGCTCCTGTGTTGCCTGGCCTCGCCTTCCCAAGCCGGGGAACCTCCTGCCCACGCTCTCCAGAGAGTGACCCCCTGGATCGCCCCCATCCTCCTTACCAGAGACACTGGGCAGGCCCAGCTGCTCACACCTGAGAGCAGACGAGCCATTTAACGCAACGATTACCAGACCAAAGCAGGTGGAAGACAGGAGAGACCCCGTCAAAGCAAGGGCTAGCGGGACATAGCTCGCCCGGTCTCGAGGACCGGGAAGCAAAGACATCACCGGTGAGCGCTGCGCGCCAGGCTGAGGTCGTTCACTGGAAATACTGCAGCTGCCAGCAATTTTCTGCAGAGGACAGCCACTGCCGGAGAGGAGACCGCTGAAGTCCTGCCCTGCCATCAGCCATGCCTTCGGCGTGGCTGGAGCACCGGCCTCACCCCACGCCAAGCACGTGTTCCCCCCGAGCAAACTGCTGCCTGTGGCAGGCCCAGGGAGTCCGTGACCGACCGACTGCCACGCGCGGCCCCTCGCTCCTCCCTGAGCCCCCCTCCGCCAGTTCCTTCCCCTTTTCTGGGCCAGACTCAGGCCCTTCAGCTGGTGTCTTACTCTGCAAGGCGTCGTTCATGCCAAGGAGGGGTGTCCATTAACCACTAAGGAGAATATAACGCGTATCACTCTGCCCTGCACTGATGGAGCTAACGTTTGATGGTCATCACGATTTGGCAGCGATAAAACCCAAATTGGTGCTGTTCATGTGAACGTATCCAGGTTCAATGGACACGCAGTCTCCTGCCTCAGCTTCAAACGGGTGGGCTGAGGTAGGAGAAGACTCAGTCCACGCCTGCGGTGGTGCGAGGCCGTTCCCTTTTCCCTTGGCTCCTGAGCGGTTGAACTGCAGGGCGGGGAATTCAGCAATAAGCTCAGCCGGGAGGTCTGACCACGGCGAAGGAGGCAGCACCACCCCGGGCTGGAGCAACCCCTCAGCACAACCACAGTGTCCTTTCCCTCTCTTCCTCACTCAGCGTCTCCTGCGAAGCCGCTGGACTCCAGCGCCGAGGGCTTCCCCGGCAGCCCTGGGCAGCCAGCTGCCACACGCCGCCTCCAAAGCCCGCTAGAGAGCTCTCCAGAAATCCCAGCCAGCCCCACGGCCGCCCCAGGGCCAGCGGGTTCTGGACACCGAGTTCAGCTGGTCACCGCTCCGCGCCGTGCCGGCGGGACGCCCACGTCCTGCAGCAGGCTAAGAGCTGAGCCTGACTTCATCCACAAAGTCTTTGCGAGAAAGTTGCCCGCCAAGCCCCAACCGCGCCGAATATCCTTCTCTTTTCCGCCATTTCCATCCCCCCAACTGCTCCTCGCCGCAGTCCCCCGAGAAAGCCGCGCTTCCATGGCTGACTGAGGCTTGAAAGGATGTCCATCTTATTTTTAGAGGTCAGCAAAAATACTGCAGTGCATTAGCAAGTTGCTGTAGGCATCCTATATTATGTGGTGGAAACCCCAAACTGGGAAGACCTCGTGTGCTCCACAAGTCCCTCTCCAACAGCATCATGTTGGACCCAGTGCAAACTGGACGGTGGCACTGGGAATGTTTTGAGATGTGTCCAGAGCTCCAGCGGGGTAGAAAGGGTCAACATGATTTACAATGGCGTATTTCAAGAATTAATTTCAATGCTCCAGTGTCACAGGCATGCCCTGCTTTCACCATACCCCCGCTGGCATGGCGAACCCATGGCTCAGCATTCAATTCCCCCCTCGGGGATCTGTCGGACGGGCACAGCGCGGCTGGCACGGAGCGAGGGGCGGTGAAGAAAACAGCCCTTCGGCCAGTGAGGTGCCCTCACCTTCCCCCCTGCCACCAGCCCCGGGCGTGCGGCACCGCGGCCGCCTCTGCGCTGGCTGCTCTGCCACCACCGCGCCCTGCACCTCCAGCACCGGCCTCAGCCAGCTCCCTGACACATCAAATTCCTTCCCCAGGTCCTGCATCTACGTCCTCACGCCGCCCTACCGCTGCTGACAATGCAGGCAGCCCTCGGTACGCACCACGGCCGTGCCCCCCGCCGGCACGGAGCAGGCGCGTGGCACTGCCAGGTGAGCATGGAGCACAGGCGTGGCGCTGCCGGGCAGGCATGGAGCACACGTGTGGCACCGCTGGGTGGGCACAGAGCACACGCATGGCACTGATGGACAGACCCAGAGCACACGCATGGCACCAACAGACAGACCGGGAGCACGTGTGTGGCACTGATGGAGAGACCGGGAGCACACGGGTGGCACTGCTGGGTGGCCATGGAGCAGCCATGAGGCACCGATGGCCAGACCAGGAGCACACGTGTGGCACTGATGGCCAGACCAGGAGCACACGCGTGGCACTGCTGCGTGGCCATGGAGCACATAAGTGGCATTGATGGACAGACTGAGAGGACACGCGTGGCACTGCTGGGTGGGCATGGAGCACGTACATGGCACTGGTGGCCAGGGACCACATGCGGAGCACCCATGGACAGACTGGGAACACACATGTGGCACTGCCAGGTGGGCACGGAGCACACATTTGGCACCCATGGACAGACCGGGAGCACACGCGCGGCACTGATGGACAGACCAGGAGCACATTTGGCACTGATGGCCAGACTGGGACCACACGTGTGGCACCGATGGACAGACCGGGAGCACACACGTGGCACTGCCGGGTGGGCATGGAGCACATCCATGGCATCGATGGACAAGGAGCACATGCGTGGCACTGATGGCCAGACCAGGAGCACACGTGTGGCACTGCTGGGTGGGCACAGAGCACGTCCATGGCACCGATGGCCAGGGAGCACACGCGTGGCACCCATGGACAGACAGGGACCACACGTATGGCACCGATGGCCAGGGAGCACACATTTGGCACCGATGGCCAGGGAGCACACGCGTGGCACCCATGGGCAGACAGGGAGCACACACTTGGCATTGATGGCCAGACCAGGAGCACATTTGGCACTGATGGACAGACCGGGAGCCCACGCGTGGCACCGCGCTGGGCACGGAGCCCGCCCACGGCACCGGTGGCCAGGGAGCACACGCGTGGCACCACCAGGAACACGGCACATGCGTGTGGCTGCCGGGGAGAGGCAGAGCCGCAGCTGCCGGCTGGGACGGGCGGCCCCATCGCCCCCCCGGGCCGGCTGTGACCG